TAAATAGATAAAAATGGAAATAGAATGAAGATCATGACTAAAAATAACTATTCAATGGTAGTAGATGCTATTTTTATTACAATACATACTTAATTTAATAAAGAGTTTAAAAAAAATTTAAAAAATAATATTAATAATTTCTATTAACTATAATATTTTGTTATAATTTTCAAAGAAATATATTTTTAAATATATTTAATAAATTGAAATTCATTATAAATTAAAAATTATTTAATCTTATTGTTTGATTAAAATAAAAAAAAAAAGATTTTGATTTTGAATTTTATCTAATCAAAATAATAAGTAAAAAAAAAAAGATTCAAATTTGAATAAATTAAAGTTTTTTTTATTATCTAATAACTTATATTATTTGATTCTATTGACTTTATAAAAATCAATTATAATAGATAATTTATTTGAATAAAAATGAAAAATATGAAATTCATAATTTTTTTAATTAACAATAATATTATCAAAAATATAATAAAGTTAATAAAAATTTGTTTATATTTACTATTAATAGGTTTTGCATTGATTTATTTTTTAATAAGATTTGTATTATTTTTAAAATTTAAAATCAAATTAAAATGAATAAAATTCTTTAGAAAATTTAAAATTTAAATAATTATAAAAAGATAAAAATAGTAAATAGAAAAATTTCAAGGTTTAGACTTATGTTCAATTATTATTTAATAATATAAAACTTCTATATAACACTCTTGTTTTAGAAAAAAAAATTTATATAATTATATTATAACTTTTTTTCTTTTGAAAGTTTCTTGTTATAAATGAAAAAAAAATATTTTTTAATTTTTCTAGATTATAGAAAGTAAATTTTTATATAAAAAGAAAGAAAATTAAACAAGAAAGAAGAGTAAATGACAACTTTTGAAAATACCTTTCAAGTCTTTTATAAAAAAGTGATGATTTTATTAATATAGAAATATGAAACTTCTATTTTTTGAAGGGGTATTATCAAAGAATCAATAGAAAAAGTTTTTTGTAACAATCACTGAAACTTATAATACTATTATAGTTAATTGAATTTCTTGATTAATAAATTGATAAAAATTTCGTTTATTTCAATAGAAAATGAGTACATTAATGTGTACAGTATGCATGCAACAAAAAACAATTTATCAGTAACAATAATTTAAGTGGTCAAACAAAAAATTTTTGATGTTCAGTATTACTGTACTGTAATTATTGCTACAATATCCACTGCTAAATTGCGGGAGTAATAAATAGGTCAGTCTAAACATAAGTGCAATGCAATTTTATCAAATTCGGAGTATTTAACAGACGGGGTCTAAACAACAGCCTTAAAATAATAATCGAACAAGAAACAAACGAGCATGCAAAACAAAAGAGCGAACGACCAATTCCATATCGAAAAATCAAAATTGGCTTATAAAAATGGAAAAATTACCTTATGTATCTAACGCATATACGGCATGCATGTCTTTTTTGGTTCTGCATAAAATGTATGATTGTGACGTATTACGCATATACTTAAATAATGAGCGAAGTCGTGTATTAACGGGATTTTCTTCAGTGAAAATCCAACTTTTGATGCTGAATAAATCAGGTGCGACGATATTGTCAAACAAACAACTAATTATAAATAATGAATCCACTTGGGCTTCTGAGAATGATTTTGGTACAGCATATATAAAAGTCATGGAACAAAATTCTCGTCGTTCAATTTTCCATCAGCAAAAAAAAAAAAAAAAAAAACACACACATCGATCCTTCATCCACAAAATGTACACCACGGTATATTACATATGTTCGCCGTCAAAACTCGTCGCCTACGTGGTCATAATCGGCATTACATCACTCGTTCTGCTGGCACTCTCCTTCTTCACAATTGTTCACCTCCTACACAGCTGCCTTGACTACATTCGTGAAGTGGCGATAATTTCAAAACCCTTGTTGTTGGGACAAATGACTATAGAGTCGTTTTCTAGCGTGATAGGAGAAGAACCAATCTTGGTACGGATTTAATGTGGGAAAGAAGAATTGGTGTTATGTTAATTCTATGTGGGAAGATTCACTGCATTTGCATTCATTATCCAGTCGGTTTTTTTATGCGTTGTAAATAGTTAGCACTTTCATTTTGATAATATCGGACAGCATTTTTTGTGTAAGAAAGCACCGCGCAAAAACAGTGGTATATTCTGTTCGCGAAGTGTCCCTCAAGAATGCATACAAGTTCAAATAAAATTTGTTTGCACCACTCTCCTCCATATAAATTGAAAACTTTGTTCTACAACACATGCGTATTCACAATTACAGTATATGATGTATTTTTGTGAGGTTTAATGGGCTAAAAGATACCGCTTTACCATTCACGTGATACAATAGTTTGTTGGCCACATTTAGGAGGCATCGTGATTCGCGAACTGTGTCTTGTATGACAAATTGTTTATCACTGATTGTCTTGATGTCAGCACATGCAGACGTTACATCAACCTCACAGATTTTCGAGCAATATTACATCTCGAAAACTTAACAATTCTCGTTCCTCTCGGTTTTTTTTTATCGTTCCCGGATTTTTTATAATTTGAAGAAAGTAGGACCTTTTTTTTTTTGTTAGCATCTTATTGGTGAGAATTCATTGTTTTTCCGTGGGGTTCTTTGAAATGTGATATATTAAATATTAGATTGGGAAAGATCGATGGTTCATCTTTTTTGTTCAATTTTTATTTTCTCATGATAAAATTTGTCCCGTTACAACATATATTTTTATGCTCATCGATTTCCCGATAAATCTTAGGGTTTGCATACTGCTTTATTAGACAAAAAGTATAAACTATGGCATCAATTAATTATGATCAAATAAAAGAGGCAGCCATTCATCATCCAAAGCCTCAGGACATCAAATATACTTATGGAACGGCCGGGTTTCGATCGAGGTATTTATCCTTGGTTTCCCTTAAAGATAAAAAAGGGAATTCATTCGCTTCCCTCATGAACCCAATGGTTGCCATAAGGGGATCATTCGTGTTAAATTGACACCTCTTTCTGATAATTCTTCGCGAAAAATGTTTTCATGATTCCAGGGCAGATCTCTTGGACTCGGTAATCTTTAATGTTGGCATTTTGGCGGCACTACGTTCAAAGAAGCTCGATTCCAAAGTTATCGGGGTCATGATTACGGCATCCCATAATCCAGAAAGGGTGAAGTGGAATCTCTTTAATTGGTTTATCCACTGTTTGCACGCGCATTCAGTTGATTATTATTTAATGTGCTCGTGCCTTTTCATAGGATAATGGTGTGAAACTTGTGGATCCGTACGGCGAAATGTTGGAACAGTCTTGGGAAGAATACGCCACGCAATTGGCAAATTCTCAGAACGAGGATGAAATTGTAGAAATAATCAAGAGCATTGTAGCCGGGAACAATATTGACGAAACGAAAGCGGCCAATGTAGTCTATGCTAGAGACACAAGGTGTGTATCGTTACCATTTGTTTGTCATTCGAATTGAATAGAAAAGAAAATTCACCTCGTTCCCTTTATTCTCGCGTATAGGCCTAGTGGACCGGCACTAGTGATGGCACTTGAAGATGGATTAAAGTCTGTTGGCTGTGAGGTTATTGATTTTGGTGTTAAGACCACCCCACAACTCCATTATGTGACTCGTTGTTTGAATACGAAAGGTACTGAAAAGAGTTATGGAGAGCCCACTGAATCAGGTTATTACAAAAAATTGTCCGACGCTTTTAGAAATTCTGTGGTACGTCCAACATCATATTTTAATATTATTGCAAGCGAGTAATACATCATATGCTCAAGGATTATTATCCCTTTTTCTTACTGATGCTATTTTTTTTTTTTAATCCGTTCATTGATCTACAGGGAGATAAGTCACGCATCTCGGAATTATACGTTGATTGTGCTAATGGAGTAGGAGCTCTCAAGCTCAAGGAACTCGCCGAACATATCGACAATGACATCTTAAAAGTCGTAGTGGCCAATGATGATATAAAGACTCAAGGAAAACTAAATCATCTCGTACTCAATCATATTTTATTATTAATAATTTCTGATTAAAGAACGGAATTCCGTGTTGACATTTCTCATTTCCTTGATATAGTGCGGAGCAGATTACGTAAAAACCAGCCAGAGGTTACCGCTTGGATTGGAGATCGAAAAAGGAAAACGAGCGGCATCCCTTGATGGCGATGCCGATCGAATTTTATATTACTTCGTCGACGAAAGTTGGTACAATTCTTTTTAGATGCTCACCTCCCACTTTAAAGCCCAACATTAATTAAATTTTTTACGACATATTCAGATGGCACATTCAAATTATTGGATGGTGATAAAATCGCCGTGCTAGCTAGCAGCTTCATCATAGATCTTGTAAAAGCCGTCAGCCTTGAAAATATTAAAGTTGGTGTTGTTCAGACTGCATATGCCAACGGCAGTTCCACAAAGTACTTGGAGAACACAATGGTAAGCTCAAATTCTTTTGATCGATATGTCATCACATATCACCTTGAACTTACCCTGGAATTTTCCATTTACACTAGAAAGTTCCCGTTTCCTGCGTGCCTACCGGTGTGAAACATCTCCACCACGAAGCATCAAAGTACGACATTGGTGTTTATTTTGAGGCCAATGGTCACGGTACCGTCCTTTTTAGTTCTGAAGCACTCAGCATCATTTCCTCTGCTAGAAGGTAAAGTAACAAATAAATATCCTTTTCATTTTTATTTTACCTTGTTGAAACATTTTTCTAAAATATTTGTATGCAGGGAAACTGAAGAACAGGAGGGTGCCCTTAAGAGACTACGCGCATTAACCAATTTGATTAACCAGACTGTGGGAGACGCGTTGTCTGATATGTTACTTGTTGAGGCAATTCTCATTAATAAACAATGGACTCTAAAAGACTGGGATCAAATGTACACCGATCTACCCAATCGCCTAGTCAAAGTTGTCGTAAGTTTGTTTATTTTCGTTGAATCGTCATCTTTCAACTTATTAAATACACGATTTCGGTTCTCAGATAAGATTTTTGTTTTTAGGTATCCGATCGTCATATATTCGAAAGCACTAATGCTGAGAGGACTCTCGTTAAACCCGAGGGACTTCAAGAAGAAGTTGATGCATTGGTTAAGAAGTACAAAGACGGACGATCATTTGTTCGGTATGAACTTGCATGATTGACATTTTTTTTTTTTTTTTTTTTTAATATAAATATATATATCAAATATCGGTTCACATTGCATTACATTTTCATTTATTTATTATAGACCTTCTGGGACTGAAGACGTTGTACGTGTTTACGCCGAAGCGGCTACGCGAGAAGAGTGTGACGAGTTGGCATACACCGTTGCCGGTCTAGTATATGACAAAGCTGGTGGTACTGGCGGAAGGCCAGAGGAATTCTTGTAATAGTTTCTTCGTTTATTCATTCATTTTTGAAAAATGAAGTGATCACGAGAGAAGCAATTAGGGATTTTTTTCGATTCTGATCCCGCCCTGATGAAATTGAAAAAAAATTTGATAAAGATAGAATGATTTTATTGCATTAGTGCGATGATAATATATATCAATAAAGGAAAATCATTTATTTAAAGCTAAAGATAGATACGCAATAACGATCACTAACTGGACTGGTCAATTTTATCCAATTTCATCTCTACAACAAATTTCTCTCTTCCTCGTATCCGATTCGATCGATGAAAGTCCTTTTATTTTGACTATTTGGTCAAGTTCATTATAATATACTTAGTTCCATTGTTTAAATGTATATGTGCTTTCTATGATATCAAATTGAAACATCTGTATAATCATACTAATACGCGATTTTTTTTTTTTTTCTGGTAATGTAAACTCCAGTTATTCTCGAGTTTACAAAAAGGCAAAATGTTTATAAATACAAAAATACACCAAGACATTATATACAAAAAAAAAAAAAAACAAAAACAAATCTATTTCAAAGTTACAAGATTATGATGCAATATTTTTTTTTTTTTTAGCCGATAAATTAAAAACAAGCAAATCTTTTCTTTCTCGATAGCTGAAGTTGTTCGAATTGACTTTCTAATTGCGAGAATGCTGCCTCCACCCGTCTTTTTTCCTTTCTTTCCTTTTCCAGAGCCGTTTCCATCTCTTTCTTTTCTTCCTCGACAGTCAACCTGAACTTGTCGTAATTGGTTTGCGCCTCTTTCAGCTGAACTCTTAAAATTTCCGTTTGTTTTTGAAGATCAGATTTCTCTTGCCTCAAAATCTCCAGTTGCTGTTTAGCACCCTCCAACGATTCATTGTTCCCTTTCATCATATTCTCCAAATCTCCGATAAGTTCTGATTTTTCACTTGTTTTTTGCTCCAGTTCGGCAATCTTTTTATTCAGTTCCGTAATCTCGTCGGGATTCACCTCGAGGCTTTTCATATATTCCTCCGTCGGTCGTCGCTCAAGTTCAGCAATTTTCGCCTGCAGAGATTTGATAGATTCATCTCGCTGCAGATCGTTATGGTCAACCGAACGCTCGATATCGTTCGCCTCGATCTTGATAATCTCTTCAAGAGAAGACTCCAGCTCGTTGATCCGATTCGTTTTTTCCTCCAAACGAATTTCCATGTCCTCGTATCTGGTAGACACATCGGTGAATTCAACGGCCAAGGATTCTAATTCTTCCTGTAATTTCCGAATTTGTTCTTCGAGCTCCTGATTGGTTGAAGTGTGAATGTCCCTTTCATTCTCTAGCTGATTTGTTTTCTTTCTCAGCTCTTCAACATTTGCTTGGTGGATTTCTAATTCTTTCTGAGCTTGGAGAAGTTGGATCTGAATCCCTTCCAATAATTTGTGACTTTCATTCGCCGCACTATCCTTAATGGTCATCTCATTCTTGGTAGTTTCGACTTCGTTTTGCAGAACTTCACATCGTTCTTTGAGCGTCTCCACCTCCTTATTGGCAATACTTAACTTAGAAACCTCGTCATTAAGGCTATTTTGAACATTTTGTAATTCGGATTCCAAGGCCTGAATTAGCTCTGCGTGTTCAACTTCCGTCTCTTTCATTTGACTTAGTTGCGTCTGCATCTCATTCAATGAGGTATTTAGTTCACTCAATCTACTTTCCTTTTCCGCTAACGTGTCCTCCAACTCTTTGACCGATCCTGATTGTGCAGATCCTTGAGCTTTAGCTTCTTCCAATTCATTGATTAGCTTGTCAATATTAGAATACAACTCTTCCAATTCAGCCGATTTATTTTGTTCCATTTCTTCTATTTTTTTCTCCAACTCTCTAACCAGATTTTCCTTCCGTACTGCCGAACTTTTGACGATGTTAAGTTCTTCGATAGTTGGTGCTGACTGAAGTTTTTTTTCAAATTCATCCAATTGATCTTGGAGTTCCTTGACGCGCGCGGATTCTAACGCCATCATTGATATATTTTCCTCCTGAACTGATTGAAGTGTTGCCTTTAGCTCAGCAACAAATGCATCTTTCTCGATGACCAATTGTTCTTTCTCCGATAGGGTGGTATCAACTTCTTTCAAGGCCAAGCTCTTCCTCTCATCAGACGCTCTAACTTCTTCAAGATGGGAACTAACTGCGACTAGCTTTTCGCTGAGACTGCTCATGGATTCTTGATGCATCTGTGCGCTTCTCTTTGCTTCTTCAAGTTCCTCTTGTAGATTCCTTATCGTGACCCTGAACACGTTTACGGCTTCTTCATGCCGAACATCCTTTTCCGCTATCATTTTATCGAGCTCCTCGTTAAGTTCAGAATAGCCGTCTTTTTCTTGCTCCATTTCTTTTAATTTGCTTTCTAATTCAACAAAAAGTTGATTCCGTTCATCCATGGCGCGCTTGGTGCTCATCAATTGTTCCTGAAGTAACTCGAAATCCTCCGCTTCATGAGTCCTTTTCGACGTTAGTTCCTTAATCTCGTTTTCCAATGACTGAACCTTATTCTCAAATTCATTTCGTTGTTCTACGGTGGCGGATAAAATATTCGTTAACTCTTTGATTTGCCCTTCACTCGCGACATGATTCTTTCTGGTCAGGTTTAATTCTTCCATCGCCGTTTGCAGATTGCTTTCAAGCGTGGAAACAAGGTTTGTTTGAGCGCGAAGGTTTCCCTTCATTTCTTCCAATTGATCAAGAATCGAATCTTTGGTATCTTTGGTTTCCCGAAGCTGACCTTGCAATTGTGAAATTGTTTTCTGTTGTTCAGATCCTGTTTCTTTTAAAACGGTCAACTCTTCTCGCAAGGATTTCAATTCTTCAGGGTCAACTTGAGCTTGGAGAGACTGAATCTGTTTTTGAATTTCGACATTCAGACACTTGACCTCTTCCAATTGTTTCGTCAACTCAGCAATCACCGTCTTTTTTTCCTTCAGCTCTGTTTGCAGACTGGTTTGATCCAGCATACCTTGTTTTAATAACTCGATTAATTCGTTTTTATGTTGAACATCCGATCGAATAGATTCGAGTTGCGATTGTAGAGTGTACGTCAAATCTTTAGAATTATTCAAAATTTGCGATTCTTTAGAAGCATTCGAGAATTCCTGACGCAAATATGAAAGTTGAGATAGAAGCGTATCAACTGTTTTCTGTGAGTGATCGAAAATGTCTTCACTTGGTGATAAAATTTGCAACTGAACATTATTCGATTCCTGAACCTTGGTCAGTTGCGCTTCAAGACTCTTCACTGTATCCTCCAGCGCCATAACATTTTCATCAACATTCTGTTCAAGTTTGTCCGCAGAGGAACCCTCATCGGTGGCGATGACATATGAAGTAATTGGATCATTTACAGCAGACTCGGCTGCGGCCACCGGCCCACCATTCCTTTCTTGACTGATCGTAAGTTGTGTCTCCCTAGTAGTCTTCAGTTCGTTTTCGAGACGCTTAATTGTGTTCTCGTGTTCATCACGTAAAGTTATTAATTCTTCAATTTTCGCTTGCAGCTTGGTCACCTCTTCGAGCATCGTGATCTCTTCCCCGTCACGAGAATCTGCGGATGGACCACTTTTAAGATTCGTCAATTCTTCCTCCAATTCATTTATCCGCCTCTCGTATGCCTTCTGAGCGGTATCCACATTTTCCCGTCCAATTCCATTGTCCAATTCGGGATCAGTGACCTTTTGTGATTCACGCGATTGCGATTCAACTTCGTGCGCCAAGGTCCCTTTTTTAGCTTCAGAGTCACGCCTTTTAATTTCTTCGCGAAGTTCATCTACTACCAGGAGAGTTTCATAATGATTCTTTTCCAACTTTTCCAACTCATCCTTGACATTATTCAGACTTTCGGTCTTATCTTTGTGAAACGATTCAAAGAGCTGGAGTTCAAACTGCAACTTCTCGACAATTGAAGAGTGCACAACATCGCGCTTTTCCGCGCCGACTAGGTCGACAGATAATGATTTTGATTTTCTGTGGATGGTAGGTCGGTAAGGAGATGCCGTGTTGAAGTTAGTGTTCTTGTGTTGTTCATTATATGGAGTCCCCGGAGTCATTGGAGTGATTGGCGTCGATGAGATCGAATGCAATTCGTTTATTGCTTTGTGATGAACGTATCCTTCAGCTTGCAGCTCGAGATCCTGAACGCGCTGAAGACAATCCTGATACCTTGTGGTGATCTCTCGAAGCTCAGCCATAGTCTTTTCATGCTCCCTCTTCGACTCCTCCAACTTGGTTTCCATCTCGACGACAGATGAATCATTGCCATCGGTGTTGCGTATTTCGCGTTGTAACTTGAGTTCCTCTATTTGATCAATGTGCTCCTGTTGTTTAGCTTTTAGCTCGTTAAGCTGTTCGACAGTCGAGCTGTGGACTTTTCTTAACTCTGAAAGTTCTTTCTCGACAATTTCATGACGAGCAGAGGCAGTGGCAGAGTCAGCTTCAGCGTGTTCCACAACTTCGACGAAGCCCCTCGACTTTTCATCGGTCGACTGCGTTTTGATCTCACCTGCACCGACTCTTTTATACTCGGCCTCTAATTTTTCGTAATCCGCCTCTCTCTCTTCCAAACGTTTCTCCAGTAATTTAACAGTCTCACTAATGAATGATTCCGGGGAATTGTCACGTGTTGTTTTAATACGAGCTTCAATCTCTTGCTTCTGGAGTTTCGATTCAAGATCTTTAATTTTGCTTTCAAGGTTAATGACGATTGCGCTGTTTTGTTCTTCTAAATTCTTGAGCTGAATTTCTCTCTCTTTCAGTGAGCTCTCTGACTGAATCAGGGCCCTGCTAACATCCGTAAGTTTATCTTCAAGTTCGGACATCCTGTCCTTATATTCTTCGGTTAATGGTTCGTTTTTCAAATTTTCCATCCCATCATAATTATCTTGATGCATTGCTAATTCTGCAGATATCCTTGCATATCTCTGGGATAACTCGGCATATGATTGTTGGAGGTACAATATTTCCTCTTCCAATGTTTCGACTTCCTTTTCTTTGTGTAATTGCGAATTGGCACCGTTCGAGAAAGAGGTCAAAGGTGAGGAAGGTCTTCTGCGAATGTGTGCGTCCTTACCATTGGAAAGACCCGATGGTGCATTCCTTGTTGGAATTCCTGGTGTCAATGCGTTTCTTCCGGGAACCGGAATCCCCGAAGTCTGTGCAATTCTCCCAGGAATAGGAATTCCAGAGGCAGGTGTAATTCTTCCGGGAACTGGAATCCCCGAAGTTGGTGTGCTCCTTCCGGGAACTGGAATCCCCGAAGTTGGTGTGCTTCTTCCGGGAATCCCGGAAGTTGGCGTACTTCGTCCCGGAATTCCGGAAGTTGGTGTATTCCTCCCGGTCGGTGTACTTCTTCCCGGAAGTTTAATTCCACCGGAGAATGTTGATGTGGTTGGTGTTGTTGGTGTAACCCGTCCGGGAGTAACACTTCCGCTGGATTGAAACTGGTGGCCACTAGCAATAGTAGCTTTGAGAGATGATACCTCCGTGCGAAGTTTTAACACCAAACCCTGTAGATGTCCAACGTCATTCCATCCAGACTCCTCTTGATTCACCTTTGCTGTGTTTTTGATGTTGCGAGCTCGGTGTGCATACTTTAACGTGTTTGTCGTCTCCGTGAGATTGAACTCGGCTGGTGATACGCATGCGATCATTAACGTTTGAGCATTCCCACCAAGAGAATCTTGCAAAAGACGGGTGAGTTTCGAATCCCTATATGGAACATGCGTCGAGTGTTTCGCCGTATTTTGATCCCCTAAGGCGGATATCACATTTGCCAATGCCAGTAACCCGGAGTTTATGGATATTCCTTCTTTTGCGCGATCTCCGCTCGCGGCGGTACGTTTTAACTTTATCAAAGAAGCCATAGACATTGTTGGTTAACACCTCTCTCACAAAATAGTCGGAAAAAAACCGTGAGCTGTTTACCCTCTCACTGCCCGCAAGATCTACGAAATGAAATTTGCTGTTTATCGTCACCCACTCGCCATCATCGGTTTTTCCTAACGCCGAAGTTGCCCGTGAAGGTGGACGACTTGAATATTTAGGAGTTCCAGGTCTAGAACCAGGAGGAGGCGTTGCCGGTGGGCCCACGGAGCTGTGGGATAGGAATTTCTGTTGCGCAATGGAGACCGAAAAAATAGCATGCGATCTAGAAGACTTGGCATTCATATCTGTCTCGCCAACCTGCCTGTTTAATGATCCGCGTGACAAATGTCTAAATAACAAGTCAAAAAAAAGGAATCATTCGTAATGAGGGATTGATCTGGCATCAGTTCAGTTCAGTTGCTGTAATCGAATCTTCTACTCACTCCATAACCTCATGAACATTCGTAACTCTCATCTCTCTTAAACCCATCCAATAAATATTCCCTTTCGAATCTTCTCGAATTTGCACCAACGGCCTCTCCTCCAAATTTCCTTCCCCAAGAAGATCGATCAGATCTTCATTGTAAATTTCAATGAAAGAAACGGTTACAACAAACTTATCAGATTGTGAGTTGATTAGTTCAAAGAGGGTGGCCATGGTACGAGGAATTATCCCCTTTGATTCCAGAGGTACTGATTCGTTATCGGCCGTGCCCATCGTATACGTTTTCCCCGAAGAGGTTTGACCATAAGCTAGAATTGTTACATTGTAACCTAACAGGAAAATGTTGAGCGTGAACAAAGGAATTAGCATATATGCCAACATATCAAACTTGATCATTGCCCCGCGAGGAAACATGGTCCTCGCGAAGGGAATTCAATGCAAAAAAGTAGAATGCCAAAAAACATCCAGTAAGTTATGTACCTTCCAAGAATTTTTCCAATAAATTTAGCACTGCACTCTCATAGATCACTTCCTGCGAGGCATCCGGGCCAAAAACATGGTCGAACTGTGAAACAGAATACAGCAATTTTAATTTGGCACCAAAATTTAATTTCGAGACATGATGAGCATCTGTCTCACCTGAAACACCGATCTCTTATCCGCGTCGACTATTACTTGACCTGGAATATCCGATGTGGATATGACCTGACGCTGAAATCTTGTTGGAAGCTTTTCCAGATCTTCGGGTGTGAGTGGTTTAATTCTGAGCGCTATTATTATAATGAGAGGACGATTACGTAATGTTGAATGAGGATGTAACTTCATACAAGAGCATCTAACAAAGAGTCAAGGTATCACCACAAAACAGGTAAACAGATGGTCCTATTTTTACTTGTTTTGATGAAACCTACCCACTTCCACCGAAGTTGTCCCTCCACCATGAGCAGACATGCTTCCAAAAATAAAAATAGTTTAATTCTTTGAAGGACGGAGATAAAGCACTTAATGTTCTACAAGGTAATGTCGAATTATCAATTGTTATATTCTAGTGTTGGTATCTATTTCTTCAATTATTTTCAGATTAAAAATAGGAGACTAAATGTAATGCCAGCCTGCTGGTTTTTTTGTTTTTTTTTTTTTTTTTTTGTTTATTAAAAAAGAAAAAGAGATCGATGAGAATATTTATTGTAGATATAAAAATAACAAATTTCAAAACAAGTTAGTTCCAATTCTCCATTGGGGAGGGGGTCGAGAAAGCGTTTACCGTAGTTGTAATTAATAGAAGTGTGGGACCGAAAATGACGGGGGAAAAAAAAAAATCCCCCTTCAGGACGGACAAATATGCGATTTATGAAAAAAAAAAAATAATAATAATGCACTTGCGAGCACGTAACATTAGCCATATGTTGAATGCGGGATGGGCCAAAGGAAGCTTCAAAAGGAAGGAGGGTGACAATTAAGGAACTTGTTATGTGGTATAAATTCTTTGTTTAATTCTACTATTATTATTATTTTTTAAGACGACATTCGTTGTCGAGATAACAAAGCTAGTATTTAATTAGTTTAATTGTGACCATCACCTACCTGCTTTACGTTGGAATCTGGCCGGAATTAAGTAATGTGGTTGAAACCGAATGCATGCATGGTATATGAAACCTATAATAAGTATACCTGTATCAAAAAAAAACAAAAAAAAAAATTTTTTTATTTATACGCCGTTTCGCGAGTGCATTATCCCATACGTACAGTACGTGCGTACGAACGTACTTTTTGTTATTTTTACAAATAGCGGGATCCATTGTTTCAATATTTAATCAATTGCTGATCGCATATACACACGTATATGGGCCGGAATTGACCTATTTCATTCGATTATTTGGTCATCTGAACGATTGTTCCATTTGCACGAGATAATAATCAATGGTAACATGACCTGCCAAATAAATTATTTGCATGCCAGGTACTCACGATCTACAGAACTTTACTGATTTTCCCTTCATATTGATTTCCACGCACAAAAACCCTGATGCCTTTTCTTTTTCCTGCAAAATGTCTGAAGTGTCTGAATCATATGCTCACCAAAATCAACGAAGCATTTTAAGCAAAGATGTTATTAGATACAAACCAGACGATTCATCCGTCAGCAAAAATATTAACCGCCGTCGAGGGATCCTTCAAAATCTCATCCCAGAAATTTTGGAATGCATCTTAATGTTTCTTCCTTTTCCAAATGTTGTTGCACCTCTTTGCCGACAGTTTCATGCAATTGTATCACAGTCCACAGGTTTTAAACGACGTTGGCTTCGTTTATGGCTTAATCCAAAATTACCCGATGCATTTTTACCTGCCTACTCGAATCTTTGCAAAGCTGTAGACACGGGAACTCCGTTCAACATATTGATGCAAATTATTGAATTACAGAGGTTATGCAAGAGAACTTTGGCTTCTCGTGATGGTAGCGTCACCAAATTACTTGATGCTGCGTTTCGCCATGACGAAAGGGAGAATCTAATCCCATTTTTGATCTCCCGAGGGCTGAATATCGAGAGATACATCAAAGACCACACGAAAAAAGACTTTGAACGCTCATACTCCGATTCCGATGATAAATTGGACAAGGACTACCTGTCACCAATAAAGATTGCCGGGAAAAGATCCAAGGATTTTATTACCAAACTTTCGGCTTCTGCTTCCAAGAATTTCTTTATCGACACAGATTTGGCGTTCGCGCTCGTTCTTCATGAACGCCTTGACGTAGCCTCTGTCGTGGCCGTTAACCAACAACAACATATCTTGAATGTTCTGGAAGAAAGTGTAGATAGACAATATACCGCGGGTATCGCCTGGGCTTTTCGCAACGGTGTGGGAGATGCCGAAAGACAGAATCCACTGTACCTTCGTCTATGCATAGAAAAAGCTGATGTCAAGTCAGCTAGGGATATCATCGAGAGCGGCGCGAACATTCATCTGTCACCATCAGCTCATACGGATGATAATTCAAGCTATGGGTCCACCAGTCTTTTGGAATTTAGCATACAATGTTACTTACAGAATCTCACCATTGATTTAAACAACGAAACAGCCAGGAAGGCTATGATCGTATTATTTCTAGAAAACGGTGCTGACCCGAATGCTGACGACGGACGACCCTTGACGCTCTGTGTTACTAATAACAACTGGGAACTCACGAATCTTCTGTTGTCCTATCAAGCGGACATCTACGAAGATGCCATTAAGATAGCCACAAGCTTAGGGTATAAAGATATGGCCAGAAAGTTGTATCGTCGAAGATCGAGGTCTGGGTCTCATGGCGAATCGGAATCTCATGATGGTCAAACTGGCACAGTGAAAGGAATAGTTAAGAGAATGAGCATATTGAAGAAAATCAGAAGAAAAAGCGAAAGTGATACCAATCACAGTCATGGCGCTTTCAAAAAAGGTGCGTCAAGAGGATGATTAACCAACTATTTATTTTTATTTTTTTAGTTTATTTTTTTTTTTAAAAAAAAAAAAATTCGACCACTATTGTAAAATGACAAATTCATCAGCATTTATTATTCATGGCAACACTTTATAGATTAGGTGGGAGAAAAAAAAATTTATATAAATATTTTTTAAAACGCGAAAAATAAGAGAAAAAACGCATTTTGATTCTTTTTGTTTAAAAAAAAAAAAAAATAAATAAAATAAAAAGTCATCATTCTGCATTTATGTTATCTAGTATCACTTGCCAAGTTCCCAAGTGTCTATTAACAGCTGGAATTCCCTTGGAACACTCGCATTGTGATCTATAGGACATAATTATGTAACCGAACTTTACCAAAAGAAAAGAAAATGGCATAGGCACATGAATGTGCATGTGGCTTCATGTCACCGATGTACGAAGCCGCGAAATGCGTAAATATTTTCTCGATACCAGCGAGATGATTGATCCTCTTTCGAAAATTTGTGTGCGGGGGGAACATTATGGAACATTACTCGTCTTACAAAAAGATGATCGATTCCATTTTTGTAAGTGCATTCGAGCAATCGACCTATCGAATCTCGTATTGTTATTGATTAATTATGCGCATCTTTTAATTACTGTACAAATTGTATAAATTATGATCTTGTTTTCTTCAGGTTTTATAAGAATTTAAATTCTATTTATATGTTAGTATAATTTTTTTTGCGAAATGATTTTTGCAAAAAACATAATTTAATTTTACAATGAATGAACGTATGTGGATATTGAATTAAAGCGTATAAAATGAACATACTCAAGAAAAATGAATAATAAGCACGTCATGTTCTATTTAAAAATGTGAAACGTGACCTCGGAAGATTTCAAAAGGGATTAATTACTTTTGACGATAGGACAATCGTTACTTATAATTGTAGTGTCACGACATTTAAGAGCAAAAATTCCTTATCGTTTGCAAGGTACTGTATGGGATGATTCACATTCCCACAATCACTTTAATATGGGAGTTATGGCATCGCATCGAAAAATAAAACATTCATTCCCGTATTTTATACACAAATTTGGGTAGGTTTGTTTACTTTTTGTGGATTAAACTGTTGTCCTGATAATATTTACAACATTGGACAATCCATCATCCCCTCTCGATTTTTCCTAGCAAATGGCCTTAAGTGCGAAATAAGACTTACTTGTCAAAAAGATTTCTTGTTTAAAATATGTGCAGCGTCTCGGCCTGCGTAACCTACAAAGTTAAAAGAACCAAATAAAGCGATAAAATAAGATGGATTTTTGGTTAATTGGCTCATATTTTACGCACTTGCTTTTTTTAAAATCGGCATATACTGTACCTTTTCTAATTCTTGTTCCTATTTGGACTTTTCGCCCCTTTTTCAATCTCACCTTTCCACTTTTTATTCCTAGGTCTCGTGCTAACTTTTTATCGTTTCGTGGTGCCCATAAACGATCATCGATCATGTGATGTTCGGTCGTGTCTTGACGACGCGTACATGAGTCATTTTTCCCCTCTAACATTCTTTGAGTTTTACGTGAAATTCTTGTTACGAGTAAATATTTTAACACCTCTATTATTATCAT